TCAACCGTTTTAACCACTGTAAACAACTTAATATCATCAGCGAATAACAAAAACCGGGTGTGTTTAATACAGGAAGTTATATCATTTACAAAAACTAAAAACAGCTAAGGACCGAGGTTACTGCCTTGAGGAACCCCAGAAGTAGATAAAAAAGGAGCAGATAATCGGCCGGATACTCGCACAAAGTTCAGCCGATGAGATAAGTAACTATCGAGGAGACGACAGTACTTAAGGGACAGACCGTAACTACAGAGTTTACTCAACAGTAATAGGTGATTAACTTTGTCAAAAGCTTTGCTCATATCAAAGTAGACTACATCCACTTGTCCTCCGCTATGGACAGATGGTACAATCTGATGTAGGAAGGAACACAGGTTTGTTTCTGTGGAGCGGCCTTTCATGAAACCGTGTTGCTCAGGAATAATCTAACAAAAATATCATAAAGGCGGGTGTTCAAACCGATTTCATAAACTTTAGAAAAACTACAAAGGAGGGACACTGGCCTATAGTTGTTAACCATGGATCGATCACCCGATTTATGTAATGGAACAACAACAGAGCGCTTCCGAGCGGTAGGAAATGTTTCAGATGCTGAGCACAACCTTTCGCTATGAAGCTGGGAATTCCATCTATTCCCGTAGATAACTCTGGTTTCAATTTTTTAATTGCCTCCAAGACTTCAGATTTATTAATTGGAGCAACAGTCAAGAATACCATGCAGTTTATATTCGAGCTAGGCATTAGGCCATTATTTGTACTTAAAGAAGCACTAAAGTGGCGCGCAAAAATATTAGCTACTTCAACAGGGTCAGGGACGCAATCCTCATTATCTCGCAATGTGATCGTGGTAACATTTTCTTTGATGCTCTCTTTGACAAACTTCCACATACACTGTGACTGTGGGCTCAATGATTGCTCGGCGATGTCAGCATGTTGTTGTTTATCTCGCTTAAATAATTGTTTCGCCTCTGCACGACATTGACTAAATCTCGTGTACCAAACGACATTGCCAGTACTCTACAAAGAGAACTTCGGGGACAACTCGCCGTGGCTGCTGGTAATCCCGACTGACCTTCGAGCATGTCACGACGACCCGACGTCCGGACACCTTGGATACAGCCGGACACTGGCCCGTATTCGTGGAAAGTATTACTGGCCAAAGCTCCCCAAAACCGTCCATCTCCACACCTGATCCTGCCACAAATGCTAGCGACGCAAGAAACCGCCGACGAAGCCGGCAGGTCTCCTGCAGCCAATTCCTCCTCCAACTGCACTGTTCCAGCAGATCGGAATGGATCTACTTGGTCATTTTTAGCCGTCGACCCTGGGAGACCGTTGGATAATCGTCGCCACAGATTATCTCGCGCGGTACGCAGAAACGAAAGCTCTTCGTCGGGGACTGCGGTTGAAGTCGCCAAGTTTTTCTTCGAGTCCATTGTCTTCCACCACAGCGCTTTCGAAGCTCTGATTACAGATCACGGATCATCGTTCATGGCACAGCTGACCCAAGAAATTCTCCGGCTCAGTCACACCAGCCATCGTCGTACCACTGCATACCACCCGCAGACCAACGGGCTGACCGAGCGACTCAACAAGACAATCGCCGATATGATCTCTATGTACGTCGACGTAGAGCACAAGACGTGGGACGAGGTGTTGCCCTACGTCACGTTCACCTACAATACGGCGGTTCAGGAGACCACTGGATTCAACCCTTTCCAACAAGTACATGGTCGAAAGGTAACGATTATGCTGGACGCAATGCTGCCCCATGAGCCATCTGACGATGAGAGCGACGACGCCCAGGCGGTTGCTCAACGCGCCGAAGAAGTCCGCCAGCTCGCCCGACTCATGATTCAAGACCAGCAACGCGTCGACGCGGGCCGCTATAACCTTCGTCGCAGGGATGTTCACTTCTAGCCCGGGAACAGGGTGTGGGTGCGGACGACCATCCGTCGCCATGGCCTTAGTGAGAAACTGCTGAAACGGTACTTTGGACCATACAAGGTACTTCGTCGCCTCGGCAAGCTGAACTACGAGGTGATGCGCGACTGAACACGAACATCGTCACGCCGCCCACCACGATCTGAGGTCGTACACGTCGTGCGCCTGAAGCCCTACTACGCTCGATAGGACTGTGGATCTTATGTGCTCCAAAGGACTCTTTGGTTTATCGTTCTTTTTTATTTTGTTTTGTTTTGCGTTGGATCGGGGCGATGCACTTTTTTAAAGGGGGGTGTAATGCCGCGCGCGCAGCTGGCCAAGTAGGCAGCGCGTGCGTGACCTAACGGTTATCGTACCTGGCTCCCACGCGAAAAGCCAGGGTTCGATTCCTGGGAGCGGCGCATCTTTTTGTTTATTCCTGCAAACTAGTATTCTGGTAAATTCGAGAATCATGTTGGGCTTCTTCGAGGTCCGAATGCTCTACGCGTCGAACTTTCTACGCCGATTATTCCAGAAGGCCACGCATGTACATAAGGGAGCTCCGCGTGGCGAGCCACAGTCAGTTTCGCCTCAGCGTTCGATCGTGCTGCTTCGCCGCCTTCGACGCCCGCGACGCTCTGTTGTTATCTTTCTTTCTCCTTTTATTTTTGGGCACAAGTTCACCCCCATTAAACGTTCAGTTTACTCAGTCCTTCGCCGCCTCGTCGCTTGTCATCCGTGACAGTATTACACACAGACGGACACATTTTCACGTGGAACACAATCCGGTAGATAAACACGGGTGAGAATGTTTTGTCTCCGATTCGATCTATGCTGCAATCATAGCACTAGCCACCCAAATCACACGTGACAGACTCACCTGACGGGCCGATATTTACTTAATTTTTTAGGGCCGTACGGAAACCATTCCTAAAATCAGCTGCGTGAACTCATCGTTCAACGCGATGAGGGAGCTCGGGTAGCGTCGGCCTCGGTGGCGTGGCAGAAACGCCAGCTTGACGCGAAAATCATAAATGGTTGATAGGGTCCTGACGTCACCGCCATATGTCCTCGCGCGGGAACTTTAAACAACCCACAACGCTCACGTGAAACGTGACGTCACGCGTATGATGAAAGTTGTCATATTTTAGCAATAGGCCTGTTTCTCTCGGCCAGAGGCGTCTACGAGACGCGACCACAAAAGAAGCGGCTCTACTAGGGTCCGTGAACGCGACCAATTAATGGTGACGTGAAGCGGCGTCCCAGCGTCCCACGTGCGCAATCGACGGGCGTAAACTAGCGTTTCACATCGCCCCTCAGCATTTGTCTACAGGCACTACAAGTGTGTTTTAAAGTTCGCAACGCCACGAACAACGGAAATGCGAGCTAGAAATGTCTGACTTGGCTCGCTTAACTTAAGAGCTAGAGGCCAATTGGTTGCTGCGTGTGAACGCGGGCGGTCCGTGTTGCTGGTGTTTGGACGTCAAGTTGCTGGGAGAAATCGCCCCGTTAGAATCGGACCTTACGAGACGCCAGAACGTCATCAACGGTAGGAAGCTCTCCTGGAAGGCGGACAACCGAAATACTTCCCTGGTGTTGTTATAAAGAATGCCTGCGTTTATACAGGCTTACTAGACTGCCATTGTATTTCGGTAACTATTGGTTGTCTATGAGTGAGCCTTCAAAGACGCTAAGTGTTTTCGGAGAAAGAAACATGGTTATGTTTGCTCCCGGACGCCCCGCACATTCTGTATCCGAAGTTGACTAGTCAACACCCACCATAAGCCAGTGCACTGGAATATTAAAGTCATCGTATTGAAACTACGCCCGGACACAATTTGAACTCGAGCGCCAAGTCAGCGTTCCGCTCGGCCTCTTGTTCAACGCGTAGAGCAACTCGTCCGCTCCTTGGACGGGGGTTGCGGTGACGTCAGAACGACGCCAAGCTCTGATTGGCTTTGATTGGAAGGATAGCGGGTAGACCTCACTACTAGATGCCTCGAGGTCTAACCACTATATTATTTTGAATCGGCCAATAAGAGCTCGGCATTCTGACATCATTGCAACCCCTACGCAAGAAGCGGACGAGCTTGCGCTCCGCATAGTGCGTCGAAGGACGCTCAACGTCGAACTCGAGCCCAAGCACTGAATTGCCGTCAACCTTCTGCGATGACGTTCCTCGGAGACAGAGAAGACAGTTCACAAGGTATGATTTTTGTGGTGTTGGTTTAGTCGTCTACAGCCTGTTTCCTTTTAAGTCCGAGCAGAGCTGTGACTACGTTCCAATGGTGCCATTTGAGCAGCGTCAAAAGTGCGTCGTCATGGCCCTCATAATCTTTGTGCGTCTGACGTCACCGACTAAACCAATCGAGCGCAAGGAATAAGCGATGCTTCTGCGCAAATGTTTGTGCGTGATTGATTAAGTCGGAGTTAGGAAACCTACAAAAAACCCAAGCGCCGTGACACAACACACTTTTGGCGTGCTTGATTCCATCCGTCCAGTCCAAGCATCAACCAAGGTCAGACTTGAAGTGAACCGGAGCATAGAAACAATAGAGTAGATTAGATTGTTGGGCTAGTTGGTTTTGGAATTTGGAATACATTTTAGCGCTCAAAAAACATAGAAACAATATTGGCCTGATGCATGGCACTCATCTCACCGGACATCCCGAGTAAGCCGTAAATATTTAAGAATATATGCGAAAAATACGAGTCAGCTGATATTCAATCTCATCCGCAAATAAAACAAACCAAATCTCCGGCCTTTGCAGACGTGGGTTCTAATCAATCAAAACAGACAAAACAGGACATAGGAGAATAATTTTGGAAGAAAGATATAAAACGTCCAGGAAAGAGTGAAAACGAACGTACTTTGATTGATCACATATCGCAGTGATTCTTACACGACACTAACAATTGTTCAGTCATGGTGCCGATTTAAAAAAAAAGAAAAAGATGCGTGACACGTTTTACCGTTATCAGATATCGTCACCTGATACGGATACTTCCCGTGGCGAGTGCGTGCGCAAAACATTAAGATATATTGCTTGTGGTTCATAGGTCGAAGGCTTCTGACAAAACACAGCACCATGGGTGCCAGAAGGCCACAAACCGAAGCGGTGCTTTAACCGCTCGTGTCTGCATCGTATTCGCGATCCGTATATGCTTCTAGTGTTCGAGGACACAGGTACCATGCACTGTGTAACTGGCTTCGCCCCGGGTCTCGACTGGAGACCGCTTGACTTCGTGGAACCTCTACCATCTGACCGAGTGTGCGGACTTTGCGGAGTCCTAGCTCGGAGGGCGACAGCTCTCCCGTGCTCGCATCTACTCTGCGAGACGTGTTACGAGGGTGTCGTGGCATGCGGCAGCAGGTGCCCACTAGACGGCGATACTCATAACCTAGGCAGCGTGCAGATGATTGACTTCCACCCGGGACCTGTTTTCAAGTTAAAGGTGCGATGCTGGAACTCCGCTCACGGCTGCGACTTCGCTGGACCTGTGTCTGCGCTTCTCGAGCACTTCGAGAACGACTGCATCCACCATCGTGCATCGTGTCCTCGATGCCACCAGGACGTACCCCGGTTACACCTCGTTCAGCACTGCGCGGACAACTGCAGCCCTGCCAGCGGTGAGCGAGGGGTGGAACCTACACCACCTGTCCTCAGCGATCTGGAGAGGGCGTGCGCCGAATTCCGGCAGTCGTTCGCGGAGCTCAGGAACCAGAACTACGAACTCCAGACCAGCCTCAATTCCGTTGCGCGAGATCTGAAGCACGGACTACCATCAGAAACAATCCAGACACTTCTTTGTGCAATCTCTGGTATTTTGCGGGACGACAGGGTAGCACCCATTGCTGAAATGACGCTCTCAAGCTGCACTGGAAGCCGTGGCGGAAGTCTGTCAAAGTGCAGTGGGGAGGGTTCACGCGCAGATAGCCTTGATGACATGACAACGTTTTGCGTTGATGTATTTACGGGACACCCCGGGTCTAATCAAAGACTTGTTGAGGTCAGCGCCCTTGGTCGTGCTCAAACTCGCAAGGTACGATGGTTTGTGCCCGACCTGAAAGAAGTACTTGAGAAGAAAGAACATATCTGTAGCGAAGGTTTCTTAATTGATGACTACGGGGCGCTCTTTGAGTTAGATTGGGAGTGGGCTGGTGATGTATTTTGCTTGGGTGTTCAACTTTGCGTTAATAACCGAGAGCACCACCATGGGGCCAGGTGGCCGTTCATAAAAACCTTCGGAGTGAAAATTGTGCATTCCCAGTTTGAGCACGCGGACATTCATCACAAGATTGATCCTGATCGCTGTGTTAAGAGTGGGGTCGAGGGGTTTACCACCATTCGGTTATGCTCACTGATCTCTTTGATGACAGAAAGCCTTCCAGATGTTCATGGGTCTTTGGAAGTTAGCCTCCAGTTCTGAGACTGGCAACAAGCAAGTGTTTTGTGTTCTGACAATGATAACCGATCAGCGCGGCGCGATGTCTAAGGATTTGTTTTTTATGGTGAGTAACAAAATTGGTGCTGATAATTAACATCGTTTTGTATGAATGAATTGTGATAGCTTGTTTCTTCTTTGTAAAAGTACGTTGATTAAAAATTTATCAAGAGCAATAAAATGAAAACAACTCTCACCTGGATTTTTTAATTTAGATGTAATGTCTATTTCAGCAGCTAAAAGCAGAGCCCGTATTATGTATGGTTTATCAATTTAGAGCCTGTTTGTCACACCGAGGGTGAATGTGCAATAAATCAGCTTGTTGGATGTTTGAACCTTGTTAATCGAAATCGTACGACGAAGGAACCGGTTGTCTGCGAAATGATATGGTGAATGAAATAAATAGGAATGTCATTGGTGTTCTGAGTGATTCTAATGATTGTATCGTCGATTAAGAGGACCGTCTGAATCGCTCTTTTCTTGGAGTCTTGATGTGTGTGACCAGAACTGGTGAATAATACTGTAGCCAACACCTTGCTAGAACGACTGAGGCATACAAGGAGAAATGCATGAGTGATCTAATTTGGGCATAACGGAGAGAAAAGCAAGACAACTTCGAGCAACATTTGTTGAACAAAATTTATTGAAAACGCTAAAACTGGCTTTAGCGCGTGCGATTGGGTACGAATGAAATGCGGAGTGCGTGACCTCCGATGCATGTTGCGCAACCTAGAGGCAACTAGGAACTGATAACATTGCGGAGTGAAGAGAGGGGCTAAAAGGAGGGTATACACATAGGACTAGGCCAACATCTCCTAGATAACAAAGCGGTTATTGTGGTAGAGATGTCGTGATCAGTGAAGGCCAACGCAGGTCACAGATTGGGCACAAATGCATGAATGCTCGGCTCAGACTTGACTCGAAGCAGAGCGCTGACGCAGCCCTCGTTTGCAATCTGTATCCAGCGTTTCCTTCGCTGGTGACGCAAAAACGTCAGCACTACGGCCTTGTCTTCTAGGCAGTGTTTAGTAAGCGCGCACCCTCACAGCGCCCTCTCTACTTCGCACATTTGTGAGTTCGACTCGCCTTTAGGTAGCGTAGCCAGTATCATATCGCGCGCTCCCATGTTTGCATTTCATTGGTGCTTGATAGTACCAGGCACAGTGGCAAATTCCGCTTTTTCAGGCAAGCTCAGCGAAGAGGAGGGCGGAGGGGGGAAATGAATGGGCAGCCTGGCTGCCGTGTCGCTTTTCACAGTGTTGAAGTTATATATGTCCTGACCAAATTTGTAAACAGTGTTCAATATGGTCAAGATGTCCTAAAAATACCCCAAATGTTTCCCGTTAAATTGAGACCGAGAGATCACTGTAAAACGCGCGAACTTTTGCCGTGGTGATTCTTTATGAACGAATTGGGATAATATTGGTTAATAATTATAGTAATTAAGAATAAGTATTTTATAATAATAGTACCTAATTATAATCATCAAATATGGCAATACAAGGAAGCAGATCTGCCTAAGCCAATGTGAGTCTTGTGTGGCGTGACATGGCAGTAGAGGCACATTCTCCACATTTGTAACAGAGCCTGAAGTCAACTGATGGCACTTAATTTTTTTAGATGTCTGTCCCGATCATTATACAATTTCTTGAAGTTTTTATTTAGGCGAAACGAACACTTTGATAACAAATTTAATCTGGTGAGGCGTTAAAAAATCTTCGAACATAAAACGTTCTCACATTTTTCCCATCGCGAATGTAATTCGTGAAATGTCATAAGGTATTGTGCACTTCGATGTGCGAGGGGCGGTTTTATGCCAAAAGCGAGGTTGCACTCCGTTATGCATATTATTAAAAAATAATTAGTGCTGTCCAAAATTTCGAATTTATGCTCGAGTCGCTAAATTTAGCGGAGAAATTGAATTGGTGTTGAGGTCACGTGACGTTCATTTTCCAGCTAAATCTAGCAGAGAAACTCAAATTGTTTATAGCTAACGTGACACGAAGTCATCTGGCGTCATTTTCCCCGCTAAATATAGCAGGGAAATTTAATTGGTGTTCAAGTCAGGTGGCGTCAATTTTCATCTAAACTTAGCAGGGAAGCTGTGGGAAGAGAGGAGGGTACACAGGAGGAGGAGTGGAGGGTACGGAGGGGGAGGAGGGGAGGATACGGAGGTGGATTTGGGGGTACAGAACAGGAGGAGGGGAGTGTACGGAGCGGAAAGGGAGGGTATGGAGGAGGAGGGGAGGGTACGGAAGAGGAAGAGGGGAGGATACGCAGGAGTGCGGGGGTACGAGGGAGGCATAGGACACAAAAGAGGAGGAGGGTGCGAAATTAGTATGTGGGGAGAGTAATATATATATATATATATATATATATATATATATATGTATATATATATTGTGGCGTGGAAAGCACAATCGTCAGTGCGCGGGACTGCGCGCTGCTGGGGCTGGGACACGAGACTCGGGTAGCGCGTGCTGATAGAGATCTCGACCAGGAAACAACCGGCATTTGTCTTCTTCTTGAAGCGACCAAAAACACCCTCACAATATATATATTTCTTTCTCAAATTGTTTAGCACGGTATATCGCAAAATTAAGATACCTCAAGAGCTGCGCCCTTATTTCGGATTACAGAAATTTGTAAACGTCTTTCATTTTATTTTCAAGTTCAGACAGCGCCTGCAAGGTAGGGCCCATCTTTGCATACCCCACCCCTTACACGAACTTTTCAATAGCCTTACAATAACAGCATAGAGGTCTTTGCCTGACCGCGTTGTCACTGCTAACAGAATTGATACTTTTGAAGAGCGGCTAAGCGAATAGTTGAATTCTGTGCGGTTCTAATACCACTGAACGCATAACGTATTCCTGGCATATTTTCTGTAATAGGCTCTTTCCTTCACTAAAAATGACGTCCGTTGTTGATGTTGTAGTTGTAGTGGTTGTTGTCTTTGTTGATCTTTCTGGCGATATACGGCGTCCGTCGAGGATGTTGCCAAATTCTTGAAAAAGATCACCCGCCGCTCGCCGCAATTCAAACCTGGGTCCGCTGTGTGCGAGTTAGCGGCGGACCCATATCATTTATGTACATTATTGGTACACAATACACAGAATATCTCACATTTCAGAACTAAAAGCTCTGTCATAGAGAAACATAAAGAAGGAAAAGGAGCCTATAACTTATATACCATAAGCGCGCAGGAAATGTGATGGGAGCGACGGGTACACTGGTTCATAAACAAAATCACGTTGGAAAAAAAGAAAAAAAAATGAAAGTCATTTACAACTTTTTGTAACACCGAATGAGAGCGCAGCTCTTGAGGAGGAGGAGGAAAGGGTACTAAAAGTCACGTGTGGCGCAGGCCCACAGGGTGGGCCTGCGCCACCACGGGCACTCGTGCACTGGTCGATTACGGCGCTGTACTTGTGCAATTAGGGTGTCCATCAGACAACATATTCTTCAACGATTGAGAGTTCAAGCAGTCACTGTAGAAGCCGAGTTCTTGGAAGCGGTCCGTTGGCTGGCGTGAAATCGCTGGGCCGCCATGCGTCGCCGGGTCAGGGAGTTCCTAAGGTCGCTCCACATGCTATCATTGTCAAGACGCTGATGGACCATTCCAACTTGTTGAAAAAAGAGAAAAAATGTCTCCACGCAAGTTTGGGGAATAACACACATCCTAAACATCCCCTCGAGTTCGCTAAAGAGAGTGCAGTTCCAGCACAGCTGTCACTCCTAGAAGATCCCTTATGTCGCCTTCCCCATCGTGAGTGAGAAGTCTCAAGCCCATCAGCAAAGCACTTCGTCTCATACGGGAGAAGGTCTATACCTCGTTCCAGAAGAGGGTGGCGTTGACACACTCAATGAAGACATGGTCTTGAGTGTCGTGTTGGCCGCAGAGGTAGCAGTTGACGGACCATGAGATAAAGAATCCCGTTGCCTCCTGCTTCACTTTAACGGTGAGCACACGTGTGTGAAAGCGGAATAAATCCTAGGAAGCGGTTGGGAGTGGAAACCTCTTATTTATTTATTTTATTTATTTATTTACCCTAAAGGCCCTGACGGGCATTGCATAGGGTGAAAGCGATGGTACAAAGTTTTCTTTATTTATTTATCAATTTCGAATGCCCTTATAGGCCAGTTGTCATTACATAGGGGAGTGGGGGTTAGTAAGGCGATTAGATATAACGCTCGGAAACAAGGTGCCGTCGCTGATGGTGACGATATTCTCCGGGAGGTCGTTCCAGCTCACAATGGCGTCCGGAAGGGCAGAATAAAGGTAAGCCGCTGAGTTGCATTTGGGCCGGGTTATCTCGGGGGATGATCAAACCTCGGAGAGATGTAAGTAGGCGGGTGAAGCAGGGAGTGATGTAAGGTTGGGTGGTACAAAATCTTGTGCAGAAGACATAGGTGGAAAATGTTACGACGAACAGAAAGATTGGGGATGTCAAGCTGGGCTTTCATGGCAGACACACTGGAGGAACACGAGTAATCAGACAGGATGAAACGAACGGCGCAATTCTAAACAGGCTCAATTTTGTTTTCTAAAATTAGTTGATGAGGACTCCAAATCGAAGATGCATATTATAATTTAGGGCTGACAAGGTGAGTATAGAGAAGACGTTTAAGGACAGGAAAGGCAGACTTGAACTTGTGGCGTAAATATCCCAAACTTCGGTTAGCCGATGCTATGATAGTATTAAGCCAGGAGAGATCAGAAGTAATGTGAACACCTGGATACTTATACTCATTAGTATAAGTGAGGGCCGTACCATGGAGAGTGAGGTTCGGCTGGGGACAAAATGGAGAATGGCAGAAACACATGCATTTATATTTATCAATGTTGAGTCCTCTGCCACGTAACGAACCAGTCGTCTATTTTAACAATGTCTGTTTGTAAAGTTAAGGAGCCACCAGGAACTGTTATTTTTCTGTACGCAACACAATCACCAGCGAAGAAACGAAGAGAGAAAAGAATGTGAAGTGGGAGATCATTTATCTATATTAGGAAAAGGAGAGGACCAAGGACAGTTCCTTCGGGGACGCTAGAAGTAACAGGAATGGCAGTGGAAGTTTTGTTGTTAGCATAAACAAATCGAGAACGATCAGATAGGAAAGAGATAACCCACGCCAGTACTTGAGGGTCAATGCTTAACGTAGATAATTCATAAAATAAAAGGGTATGTGGGACCT